AACTCTGTGAATGGGACTCGTGGTTATTGATCAGTGGTTATTGATCAGTGGTCATGAGAATTTGCATAATTATGATGAAGGTGACCTCCCAGCCCGTTGTTCCTTCAGTGCTGCTGGTTTCAGTCATAATATAAATGTCCTGTTTATAAGGTTGAAACCTGCAGTCAGAGACTGAAGACGTCAGCTGATGATGAAACATTTCTCCCACTGAAACATCCAGATGAACAGAATCAACTTGTGTACATTTAGTGTAAAAAGATACAAAATAATATTTAAAATCTATGAAAAACAAGTGAAGACCAGCTCAGGACAGAAAATGTACATAACCAGTTTGACACACACACACACGCACACACACACACACGCACGCACACACACACACAGACACACACACAGGAAGCTGATGTCATTAGCAGCCTGTAACCTCTTGTTAGTGGCAGTGTGGTCGCTTGCTGTGCTCGCTTAGACTCTCCTGAGGTAACCTCAGGTCACCTGACCCAGGTGTGTGTCTACAGGTCAGAAACCACTACGGGCTGTCTCCATGGTTACATGTTGGTGGGCTGATCTCACTCAACTGCCCGATAAAATCCTGCTGCGTAGTTTCTGTCTGCAGGTGCTGAGAGTGATGCGAGATGGACAGTGAGAGTCAGATTCACCTGTTGGAGGTTAACCTGAGCTCAGCTTTGAGGGCAGCACCTCCTCCTGCAGCAGGCCATAGGGGCGTGAACTTTGGATGAGTCACATGACTTCATCTTTCAACAGCCAAACTCTGGAAAAACTGGGAATGGTCATGATTTACTTTGATAGATGACAGTTTATGACTGATTTTACTGGCACACGGGCACCTGGTTGGATATAATGAGCAACTACAGCCAGAAGGTCGGGGTAATGCACCCTTAAACTGAAGGAAACCCGCAGCTATGGGCATCGGAAAGCAAACAGGAAACATATGTAAATACAGGGACAACCACAGTTGTCCAACTCTTGCATCAAACGCCATCAAAAACTAATGAAACGGGACTGATTCTGAACTTGCCAGGTAGACATGTTACAGGTGTACTACCGCGTCTGACAATACTTCCTGGTTTAATTTGGCTCAGGACATCTCCCTGCAGTCCTGCTTTGGCCACCCGTACACTCTCCTCCACTGAGCCAAACCTTCCAGCCCAGCCTTCCAACCTTCGCAGACGTTAGCATGATCAGATACGTGGGTACATTGTTTTAAAAAAAGTAATGGAAAGTCTTTGACTCACTGATGTTGTCTCTGTCGCTCTTCTCTCCCCTGTTGAACATGTAGAAGAAACACACTTCCACCTGTATACTGAGAGAGTCGGGCTGTTAGCATGTTATCGTGTGACAACACCTCCATAC